GGGCGAGGCCACAATAGGGAACACAAGTTTTACATTGAAATATATAGGAAAAATCTTTAAAAATCTTCTTCTCAAGAACCACTGAGCCAGAAAAGCTGAAACTTATGTGGAAGCATCCTCAAGTAGTGTAGATTCTAAATTGTTCAAATCATGACCCCGGGGATAGGGCGGGGCCACAAAAGGGGGAATCTCAAGTTCAACATTGAAATATATAGGAAAAATCTTTAAAAATTCTTCTCAAAAACCACTGGACCAGATAAACTGAAACTTATGTGGAAGCATCCTGGGGTAGTGTAGATTCTAAATTGTTCAAATCATGGCCCCTGGGGGTAGGGTGGGGCCACAATAGGTATTACAAGGGGGGAAGTCTGGTAATGAACAGCATGGCCAAAGTTACTCAGGTGAGCGATGTGGCCCATGGGCCTCTTGTTTAGTATATACATTTAACTGCCCCCAACCCCCTCTAGATCCGCGCATGGGGTCATTTGAAAATAGTATTCTCAAGAATCCCTGGACTAGAATGAGAAAATTTCCAACATAGCATACATTCATTTTTTTTTCAAATATTGATTCCAGGGAGAAGGTTTGGGCCGGAAAGAGTGTTCATAATTTAACAAAGGAATTTATATATCCCCCCAAACGAAGTGTGTGGGTTTGAGGTGGGGGTGTTTTGAGTCTTTTGGAATCACACTGTCCGTCTGCCTAGCAGTCCGTCTGTACGTGATAGTTCGCCAAGGATATTATAACTTTGTTATGAAGAAACTGGAAGGTCATACTTGGTACAAAGATTACTAATGATCCGAAGGTGTGTCATGGTTTTGATCCAACATCATTCCAGCAAGTTCAAGGTCATTGGAAAAAAACAGCAAGTATCATACTTGATACAGAAATTGCTTATGACAAAATTAAAGGGTTTGACACGACTTTCATCCAAGGTCATTCCTGTAAGTTCAAGGTCACTGACAGAAAACTGTAAGATTACTGTAGTGTTATAACTTTTGAAGCTCATACTTGGAACAAAGATTGCTTATGATCCACCGGTTTGAGATAACATAGTACTAGACTGGCAGAAGAAGTGGCAAAATTCGTGCCTGGATTATAAATTTATAAGGGGTGGGAGGAACACAGGAAACTTTTTCTCGGATTGCTTGAGATGGGTTTTCCTGACCTTGAACAAAGGTTTTTTCGGCAAGTTCAAGGTCACTGGCAGATAAATATTATTTTTTTCCACATGCTATAACTTTGTTATATAAAATCACTGGAAGCTTTTACTTGATACAGAGATTGCTTATGATCCAAGAATGTGTTTTGACCTTGATCCAAGGTCTTTCTGGCAAGTTCAAGGTCACTGACAGAAAAGTGCAATATTCTTTTTCAGGTATATCTTTGTCATTGGGTATCACTGGAAGCCCATAATTTGTTCAAAGGTTGTTTTTGACCTTAACATAGGTCATTTAGGAAAGTTCAAGGTCACTGATATAATAAGTGTAAAATTCAAAAAGGTCTAGTCGCCCAAGTGGCGCAGTGGTAAGAGTGTCTGCTCTAGAGTCGTGGATTATGGAGTTGATCCTTACGTCGCAGGTTCGAATCCCACTGTGGGACGCAGAGACTGATCCTTCGGATGAGACCGTACAAACTGAGGTCCGTCTGGCAGTAGGTGCTGGCACGAAAAAGATCCCTCACTGCTAAATGGCCATGTGTGCCGAGTATAGGTCAAAATTTGCAGATCTCCATCGGCAAATGGTGGCGTCTCCATATGATTGAAAAATTCTCGAAAGGGACGTTAAACAACATACAAACAAATAAAGAAAAAGGTCTATACTTTTGTAATAGAAAAAAATTGCATGCATTTGCATTTCACTGAAAAGATGATAAATATATCATCCAGAGTGTGTAATGGCCTTGACTTAAATCGAGGTCACTTAGAATATGATGTTTTGGATGAATAGTCTGAAAGAATACGTGACTGTGATTTTTTTTTATGTCGGTGACATAAAGATGGTGTTTGCTCTTAACCAGCTGCAGAATGTGTCATGGCTTGACGCAAAGTTATTTGGACAAGTTCAAGTTCACTGACAGGGGAATTTTACATTCCTTTACTGTCTTTCTACTGTTGAAACATTGAAAGTTGATGCCCCTTACAGGATTGTTTATAACCTTAAAATGTTGCATGACCTTGACTCAAGGTCGCTCTGTCCTGTCCGGAGCTCCGACGGAAGACCTATTCGTTGCATTGCAACGAGCTCGGCTCTAGTTAATATTAATTTCAGTAAAAGCGGAGGACAAAAAGAAAAAAGATGTCTGGTCCATATAGTTTTGTATCTGAGAAACAATAGAAATCCATAGTTGGCATACTAGTTGCTTATGATGAGAGCTTGTGACCCTCAATCAAGGTCGTTTGAGCCTCAAAATACATCGTTTTTTTCCTCCATTTATAGCCCTTAGATTGAGAGGTATATCGAAGATCTAGAGGTATACTTAGAATTATTTATGGTTTATCTCCCCTCCTCAGTCCCTTTGACTGCAAATTTAACTTTGATCAATTTTTTTTACGTAAACAAACCTGGATACTTCTTTATTATGTACTATGTTGTCAGACAATAATATAGACTTGAATCAGGTACAAGTTGATTTGAAACTTGATAAAGATCACAAGGATCAGAGCTGTAAATTTGTCGGATTTTGAAGGTCATACTTGGTTCAAAGGTAGCTTATGATCAGAAGGTTGTTGATTGTGGCCTGCATCGAAGGTCATACTGAATAACTTCCATGTCAGTCACAATGACTGGAAATATTATACCTGGTCCATAATTTTTATGGAAAGAAAAACGTCTGGACACAAAAGATGATTATGAAGAGAGAATGCTCCGACCCAAACTCAGCCGAGCAAGGTCAAGGTGATGTGGTTTGAAAGTAAAATTTATACTTTTATTAGAGAGAATAGAGAAATCCGTTTAATGATTAAGGAATGTGTCACGATTCTGTACAAAGGTTATTTCAAAGTCATAGAATTGTATGATTGTACTGTTCTCGTTTTATCAAACATGTATTGTTCTGAGGGTATGTTCAGTGGCTGGTGTATCCAACGCTCTCCAGATGAATATTTTTCCTACTGCTATAATATATATATATGTTAGGAATCTCCCTTTTCAAAAACGTAATGTATTTTGATCCATATTTTAAGCATTATTTTGGATTCCCATATTTTTTACCATGCAACCCTTTCCCAGAAAAGAAAATCTGGATCGACAATTGAAGAATGCGACACCTGTCACAACAGCTAGATCTAGTCAGGTCAAATAAGTTGGTTTTACAAACACGTCTTGTTGAATTCCTTCATGTAACATATACTCCCATTTTAGTATATAAACAACAGGAGTTAGTAGTCTGAATATGATATCTTCAGTTCTTTGTTCTTTGTCTATCCAGGAACGCACTAATACGTTTATCACGAACACACCTACTAAGTTCTAATTTTGTTTTATAGCCATTTTAGTTTGCCAAATACAATTTGAACAACAATATCCTTATTACTTTATTAGCTGTATTTGATTGTTTACTTTATGAACACGCTAGGTGTCAGTTAATTCAGAAATTCTAAGTTTCACTGAATACTAATTAGCTTTATAACATTTTCCGTCATTTTGCACACGATTCTCCATTGCTGGGAGAGGTTGTTTTAAAGCATTGGTGATTCTGTAAGTACTTATTTATGCAGCTATTCGATTTCTTAATTACAGATTCTTTAAATTTTTTATCAAAAGTTGAAACGATATTGAAGTATCAAATATTTCTGCAGAACATGAAGATGAAAAGGCCGGAGCCACTCGGACCTCTTATTTACGAGGAGGACTATATCGTACCCTTGTTGTCCAGTGTGTTAGGACTCATGGAAAAAGACGTCATCCAAGACACTGAATCCACCAGTGTGTTTAGGGTGTTTTCTTGTTGCACGGAAAACAAATCAAACAAACGTCCAAGGAGAATTCAAAAACTGATCAACCAACAAGCTAACGATAAATATCCTTCCATTATTTTGTCGTCTGATGGTGGTGATCTCATGTTGCAGGTGTCGGATACGACGTCACGTGATCACCGGAGGAGGTTGCATCTCGGTGTCAAACCATACAGAGGAAATCGACACACACTTCACTACCACGGATGTGTTCAAGAACGGGGTGTTCACCTCATATTTTTGGCGATCAAACTTCTTGACAGATTAAGTTATATGTTTAGATATCAGTCTCAATGTCACCATTTTGTACCAAAGTACCTGACATTATTAGGAATCGGACATCACAGTTGCTTTAATGATTGTGAGCGGATCTTACTGGTGGCAGACGGAATTGGTGCAGCAGAAATATTTCAAAATTTGTACGAAAAACAAAAGAATTCTGATTCTGTGTTCGTGTAAATCAACAACATGTAGAATAAATCTGTTTATAAAAATAATTTAATGTCAGTCGTTTATAAATATAATTAAATGTGTGTAAAGGATAGTTGCCGGGAGTAAGGTAGAATTGATATTTAGAATTCCAAATGCCAGAGCTGGCAATTTTTGATATTGTGAAAAAGGTGCGAGAGAAAAAAATCTCGGTCATGAGACTCTCTAAAAGGATAAATGATAAAGGAGGGGCTATTTTGAAAAGAGTATTCAAAAAGAACAATGGTAAAGTGAATATTTTTAAAAACTGAACTAAGTCTTACAAAAACACGTGTCTCGAACGCTCTAGTTTAAGAAAGTGAGGGTTTAGAGTAAATTATCTTGTTACCATGTTCATCGGCGACAATTTAAGTTTTAGTCTGAGTCATTTTATTCTTATTAAAAGAACATTATTATTATTATTTTCAGTGTTTCTCCAGATCCGGCCCAGAGAATAAATTTTGTCTTCCGGAAATTTTATAAGATACACTCATGGTTTTATTGACTAGCCGATTACTTCCGATGAAGTGAAGACTTTTATTAAGAATATTGTAAGTTTGCTTTGAAATGTTCAAATCGAGCCACGAAAGCTAAATATAAATTGAGTTTGATAGCCTCAGCAGTTCGGCAAATGATTGGAAATAGGGAGGGTCGGGTGGGTTGCTCTACATCTATTTTAAAACTTTTAATACACGCTTACAGTGCAATATCTGCTAACGTTACTTTTGTTGTGTTTGAGACTAAACAGTGAGTATAGCAAAGAGAGAGTTAAATAACATCTTTTTTAGACGAAGAATTTCCTCAAAGATGGACAAATCACCTTCATCATCACTTACGAACCCAAGATCAGAAAGTACACTCGGATCTATGACGTCATCACCTTCAGTACCCGCGGCAAGTACTTTATTGCCCCCAAACCCATCAGAACCTGTCGCAAAATTTAACTCGAGGAGCCTTTCTGATGATAACAGATTCCAAAATCCACATAGCACAATACAAGGAGACGGTCAATGCAGCTATTCTTCTCAGAATTTATATGATGCGAATGACGAATCAATCATTGATGTGGAGTCTCTAATTAATACTGTCCTACCTTTATTCCCGATATCGTCTCCGGATCCATCCGACAATTTTGCAGTACCTTCACCAAACATTTCAAACAACAAAGGCATGGCAAGCGACAGAAGCATCAATACTACTGTATCATCTCTTCAGAAAAGAAACCTTCCATACTTAGAATTAGGCTGTGATACTTTACCCGCTACCACAGGTCTTGAAAGCATACAAACCTACGATATCAACAAAAATTACCCTTTGGTTCATGAAAAAAATTTTCTGGGACCAGATATAGAATGCAAACAGCCCAGCGACAACAAAGAGGAGAACAACAATGAAGAAAGCAAGGAAGATCGCGAGAAAAGGGAAACATTGCTAAAACACGTCAATCCAGAGATCCGCGCCCTTCTCGACTATAACTACTGCTGTAGAAGTGACGAGGAGAATCTTGCGTGTTTCGTCTGCTGTGAGGCGTTTAATGAACGTGTTCACTTGAAAAACCACATTGTGAACCTTCACTTACGTCACATTCCTATCAGTCAGTTCGCTTTGTGTCCCTACTGTGCGTTTGCCTGTAAGTCTCGGTATCAGTTTGTAGAGCATGTCCTGAAATCCAGGAGTGCATGTAGGTCATTAATGATGAGAAATAAAAGTAAACGAGCCCCGAAGCAAAGAATGAGGACCAGTAAGCAAAGTAAATGCGATTGATTGAAAACGCAGAATTACGGAAAGGGAAAATATCTCGAAATTTTGATTGCATACAGTAACTGTTATTACGCTTTGAGTTGTTGATACTTTAATTATAAAAGCCTTGTTTATAGTTTTAATTATATTGTCAGACTTTGAATTTTGTGAGAAATAGATTTCATTTGGAATAATAATATCAAAGAGCAAGTTTTGGTTTTTTATCGGTCAACATTTTCTACATACAATATTGCACTAAGTGCATCAGTACTCGAGAGGGTTGAAATTATCAAAAAGTTGCACTCGTTAAATAGACTTCAAAGCAAATATGAAATATTCATATATACACTTGTAAACGATATTCCGTTTGACTTTTTGATTAAAGCCTATCCCAGATATATTTATTATGAAATATAGAGCTGCTCAAGCGTTTTGCTTTTAAAATAATGTGCAAGGATCTTTAATACTCCGATGGCGTGGAATGCAAATATTGACTGTGGTCTCGCATAAATATAATCCATGGAGATTGGTATATTGAATTGAGGGATATGTGTCAGCCATGGTGATTACATGAATATAATGCAATATTTTGACATTTGAGCAGTTACTTGCACTAATGAGATCGGGAGATTTGTGGGAATTTAATTTCCCTATTGCTTTTTAGCACTTTTTTTTAAATTCTTTAACTTTTCCGAAAAATTTTGTACTTTCGACTTGAAACACAGGTCTAATGCAATCTACACAATAACTAAAGGGTTTCGTTATATTCAAATTGACAACTTCAAAACAGAATTTCATCATTTTATTTATATGGCATATCAACTGCTTCAGGGTTCATGTTTTTTATGTAAAAAAATTTTATAGATATTTGAACATTGGTAACTCTACAGTATGCATAAAATAATACTGATCAATCCATGTTTCATACCGCAATGTACATGTATATAGTACCCTCATTTAATACTGGCTTTCAGAAAATGCTATTATAATGACAAAATCGAAATCATAATTATATATTATACCAATTCATAATGATATGTAGATTAAGTCATACAAGTTAATAGAATTAATACACATTTATAGGAGTGAATAATGCAGTACAACCAAATACATGTACATGTATATACTTGGTAAAGAAATGCACACAGTTGATTTCTACAGGTAAACTTCTACCTCGCCATGCAGAAATTTTGAGCTCACATTTATAATAGCGAGTAATATTACATATCTTGAATAATAATAATAATATGTACAAATATTGACTGGAGTTGAGGGCAACATTGGTTATGTTAGCCTCCAAGGGATGAAATATTGCCCGACGCGGAGCAATTATAATAATTATTATAATACCACTAGGAAATATCCATAATCAATGAAAATGCCAAACAAAACAAAAAAAAATGAATATAGTGACGTGCATTCGGCCTTGACGTTTCAACATATTTATTTGTAATGTCCTGTCACAACTGCCTTAACTGTTTGTCTTTTCACAGTTATCCTCACTCAACCAATATGGACGTTCTAGCGGTACTGACGTCAGAATCCGGGTAAGTCTGTGCCACTTTTACATGTGAACTATTGTTTTTCTTAATCTTCAGAGCAATTTTTCTGTTGACATCAATCAGGGCTTTCTTCATGGCCAGTTCTGCTCTCTCGTCGCCTACATTGAAGAGGAACATGGAATTAGTGTCATTACTAACAGACTGCTAAAGTTTCCACTAAATTTTGTAATGCAAAGTTATATTTTAAAAAAGATTACAGCGCTAGCAAAAACTGGGAGGGGGTGTCAGTTGCAATTTATTAAAAGCTCCAAATAAAAAAGAAAAACGGTATAGCGCTACAGGGGCTCGTATTCAAGATGTTTTGTGTGTGTGAATATAAATCTTGAAACAGAAAAGGGCTGATATAAGCGGTTCTAAAAAGCCCTCTATACTGGACATAGGTAACAATAGGCAACGGAAGTGACGCATATCTCATAGAGTGGTGTTTTGGGAATACCTGAAGTAGAGTCCTGTGACTCAAAGACTTCATTCAAGTTAACTTTTGAGCAATTTTGGCACTTTTTATGATTTTCTTTCAGTCCGGACAGAGTAAATGGATTATTTCTTGATATAATACTTACCCAAGGATTTGGCATGATCCAGGGCTCTCTCAAAAGAACTGTGAGCCTTCTCATACTTCTTCATGTTAACTAAAACAAAATAATCTGTGTTATCCCTATTGTTTAAATGATTGAATAAAAAGAATTGCTCTGACATAAAACCTGAAAAAAATATTCTAGGAAGTATTATTTGCCATCATACAGACTTGATCCATAAAATAAGATTTTTTTTTCTCTCAAAAATTGTCTACAACATTTTTCATATTCTGCTTATTTGTGAAATATATCATTTTTTCACCTTCTGCCAGACCCACTAGTACGCATGCCTGAAGCTGTTGTTGCACGTTCCCAGCCTCCTCTGCGGCTTTCAATGACTTCCTTCCGGATTCTCTGGCGCTGTGGAAATTGTTCAGCATCAGGAAACAGTTACCAATCTCGTGGAACAGAGAGGCCGTCTCCCGTGGTGTGTTACAGAGTGGGGCTTTTCTTGTAAACCTTTCAACATATTAAAAGTAGATTTAATGATGTATAATTTTTTTTTTTATTATTTTCTTTATATATTAAAGTACTTGTAGTACAGCATTTATTTCTTTTGATTTGCTATAAATTTTTTCCGTTTTGTTGGGTCTAAACAAATTAATTTTAGAATGAAATTTATGTTTTAATGTGCTTTCTTTTGTGTTGAAATATGAAGGGAAGTCAATAAATTGATTCAGAAATTGTTTATGTACCGGGTATAAGAATGAAGACAATACTTCACAATAAACTTAAATCTCAAGATCATCAAGAAACAATCTTCTTGAAAAACTCGCGTCGAAAAAATATTTTCAGAGCGTTCGATTTTAGTACTATTGTCTATTTAAATTATTATCATATCGCTATACATAAAAAACCTTGGAATTACATATCGAGAGCTTTCTTGTGTTTTCCCTTCATCATGAACACTCGTCCTGTGTTTCCTAGGGCTCTGTACCGGATGTTCCTCCTATCCCTGAAGACAACACATATAAAAACGCTTTGGAATTTTGTGTATAAAGTCTACTTTATTGTAAGAAATGGAGCTACGTCATTTGTATTTTTGTTGCACAAAACAACACTCTAATAACTTACAGCTGTTCCCCAATGCTCAAGTCCATTTGGTGATACTTGAGCGCCAAATCTAGTTTACCAAGTTGCATTGAAGCGTTGCCAAGGTAACTGTATAAGTTTGAAACCATTTCAAACTTATCTGGAATTTCTGTTTCATAGTAACGTTCCAAGAGTTCCAGACAAGCCTCGCATCTGTCCTGAACATTCCGAAATTTATTCGATCTGAAATCTGATGGAAAAGAGAAGTGTGTTGGGTAATCTATTGACGTTCTTAATTGAGGTAGAGATTTAAGTTTGCAATTTCCCATTACCTTCATCAATAGCGTCCATTTCTTTTTTCATGTATTCCATCACAGATTTCTTGGCCGTGTCTTCTTGTTTTTGATCCGCCTCCAAATCTGTAGTTCTGTTGGCTGATTCATCCGTCTCTTGTTCTTCTGCGATTTCTGTCATCATTCTTTGATGAAAATCGTCAAAAAGTCGAATAGACGGGAATTTAAATTCCACTTTACTGGGGTCGGGTTTAGGACTAGACTTTTCCTTCTTGCTACCATACGAATATCTTGATGATTTTGTCGTTTTCAATGTTTTTGTCGAGTCTGTGGATTTCCACGAAGTTTTTGTGTCTGTCGTTTTGAAACTATCTAGTGAGTTCATGGACAATGTACTTCCGCTGAAACGACTTCGGAATCTCCGCGCAGGCGGTGGGGGCGGAAGTGGTCCTAACCGATCCCAGTAAGCTGCACGGTCTAATAGAAAGTGAAATCCATCTTCTGCTATGTCTCCCACAGGGCTTCCAGAGCTACCCATGACAGCTGTACAGAAAAAGAAGTAAAATAAAGTACATGTATCGTTTTGCGTTTTATTTACAAAGACACACCAACAATACCAATATACATAAATACCAGCAGCAGTAAACCAGAATGTGTACATAATGTTTTGCAAATTTCATACCTGGAAATTTGTCATCCTCGATTAGATTTTGCAGATACTTTTTGTCTTTGTATAACTTCCCCATGGTCGTTTTTACCACGCGACTTTCCGGTCGTTTTTCGTCATAATTCAGTACGGTGCTGTCGTCGTCATTCTCGTCATGGAGGGACTCTGCCTGAGACAGACTCACTGATGGTGTCTTATGGATACGGATCAGCTGACAAAGTGGTCGGGTATTGAAGGTGGCACTGGGAAGCTGCGAATTCTGTGATTTGGATTCTGGCTTCTTCCACGAGAACGGTTGCGCATGTGGCTACAATAAATACTCAAGTTAAGCAAAGGTGTAAAGCCAGTGGTTTTGAGAGTAGTAAAACTAAGAAAACATGGAACTTACCACTTTGTGGACTAAATATGTCAGATCCCCAGCCTCAGTTAATTTCATGCGCCTCCCTGCAAAAAAAATATATATATTTGTATAATTAACTAGCTAGAGCTCAGATTCGAAATGATATTATACATTTATTGACTGGGTGGTTCGAGGGCAACATGCGTTTTCTCGGACCCAAGCACCAAACTGTTTGCCTGAGGCCGTTAGATTTAGCTAATCCCGCCCACAGTGTGACGTAAGCGGTCCAATATCTCGTCCACAGGTCCAACATCTCACTATGCGGTCAAACATCGATTTTTTTTTTATGACCGCTCAGCAAAACATTAGGGATGTTAGACTTTTTTAGTATAGATTTATATAGGAACTAAGTTTTAAAGGTATAACAATAGATAATGCTAAGAAGTTTGCCTACCTCGGCTTTTTCGGCCTTTGTTGATGCCCATCTCTGCCTTTTCCTTTCCAATGATGAAGTCCTTGTTTTGGGGATAGTGTTTGTGCCCCCTGCTGTAGTAGACTAGAGCTAATTCATAATTGGAGGACTGGTACAAGAGACTGGCCTTCTGAAGAAGCGCCTGTAATAAACGAACACTCAGGCCTTCAGTACTACATACACTCGATAAATCTCTCCCTCTCTCTGATGAATAAACTCAGGCCTTCAGTACTACAAACACTGGATAAATCTCTCCCCTCTCTCTGATGAACAAATACAACTCAACTGTTAATAGACTTGTATACATGTATATGGGGCACTACTTTAAGACAGACAGAGAAAGATCAAACATTGAATTTAAAACAAGAAACATTTACTTTACTCCGATTGATATATTACTCGTATAAAATACTAATATTTATGTAAAGATGAAAAGACTTAATAAAATTCCTCCGTCATTCTTTCAACAAAGTCGACGTGCAGATCTTTAAAAAGATTTATTCGGAGTAGCAATTTTAATTGGTCTGTTGCAATGAAAGCTGTTGATAGATCAGCATTCACTTACACTGAAATTGCTTTTTCTCTGTTCTGTTGAAATGAAAAGCACTAGATACCATACAAAAGTGTCTAAAGAAATGAAACTTTTATAAAGCTATACATGTCGATAAAAAAGATAATATGTTCAGTTTCAATTGCTTTGAGCTTATCTTTATTAAATATTTTTAATAAGGCTTGGTGGCATATCCTATACAGACAAAATCATCGGAAAGAATATAGATCTATGATCATATTGTTAGAATAGTACACCAAAGATGTTTAATCATATATTTTGGTGATCATTTATATGTGTGTAACATATAAAGGGCAAATATCAATTATATTGATTTATATTTAAATCAGAAGTCTCTGACGAGACTGTAGCTATACTGGTTTGTACTTATAACAAGGGAAGATAAAAGTAGCACTTGGACTTGAAACTTGGCAACAGCAATAAATAGAATAATGATCCTTGGTTTAGTCTCTTTTTGTGGCAAGATTTATTGCAATCAGCCTAAAACTGTAGGAGGAGTAGCCTTTTAAAAGAATTTTTCAGAAATTTCGATTATAGTAACCATGGCAACATCATTCAACAAAATAAAAAATACAATAAAGACAATTATGTATCTCAGTGTAGTCTACTTGTGTGCCAGATTATATTGACTGAAGGAGGAGTAGCGTTTTCAAAGTATTTCAAGGAAATTTGTATTTTAGTAACCATGACAACACCATTCATTGAAATTAAAAAACTGATAAAGAGAATTATGTATCTTAGTATAGTCTACTTGTGTGCCAAGTTATATTGAGATCAGACCAAAACTATTGGAGGAGTAACATTTTGAAAGTATTTCAAGGAAACTTCTATTTTTAGTAACCATGAGAACACCGTTCATTAAAATCAAAAACCGATATATACAATTATGTATCTTAGTGTAGTCTACTTATGTGCCAAGTAATACTGAAATCGGACCAAAACTGAAGGAGGAGTTTGGTTTTCAAAGTATTTCCCAGAAATTTCTATTTTTAGTAACCATGGCAACACCGTTCATTGAAATCAAAAACCGATATACAAAATTATGTATCTTAGTGTAGTCCACTTGTGTGTTAAGTAATACTGAAATTAGACCAAAACTGTAATAGGAGTAGCGTTTTGAAAGTATTTCCCAAAAATCTCTATCTTTAGTAACCATGGCAACACCCTTCATTGAAATCAAAAACCTGTATCTTTGTGTACTCTACTTGTGTGCCAAGTTATATTGAAATCAGACCAAAACTGTTAGAGGAGTAGCGTTTTGAAAAATTGTTTACAGACGGACGGACAGACAGACCGCTAGACAGACAGACGGACACCTTATTATGGCATAAGCTCTTCTGGTCTCTGACCACTAGAGCTAAAAGATAAACATTTTGTATTTTTAGTAAGACTGTCAGAATCAATTTCTCTAAGCATAAAAAATTTCCTCTATAATATAAGTTCCAGAAATATATCTCATAGAATCACCAAGATTTTTTGATGTACCTTTGACTAAGAAAAAATAAGAATTTATAACATTTATGATGAACATTCAGTTACTATCTAATGCCCATATATTTAATATTTTACCTCTACTCAGGACAAAAACAAAAGAGACCGCTAGATCACATATTTTTATTTCTTATATAAATCGTTTTTCAGACCAGTGTATACTCATACCAAACTATCAGAGTAGCGATAAATCCACGAAGAAAAATGTGTTGAAAGTATTCTAAATCTTCTGAAGACAAAAACTTTCCATATATTAAACAAATATAGGGCATATTTTAATTTTACCATTAGCTGTGTGATATAGAAAATTAAAGAACTAAGTAAGTTTAGGGCTGTATCTATCCCCTTTCTGTGGAAACTCGGAACAATTCAAATGTTTATAAATGTCAATCTCTTGCGCATTATATACATGTACCCAGCAAACAACATCAAATGCGAATAAATAGATGTTTTACAAATGTATTATAAAAAATAAACCATACAAACACCTGCTATAGAGTTTGTAAGCACGGCGAGGGATGTTGGTGTATGCATATACGTCATTTATTTACAATCTTTCTGAGCCCAACATTTCGAATTTTTGTCTATTTTACGGTAGGTGAAATGAATGACCTTTATTCCAATTATATTATCACAATGTATATTTTTATGTACTTTTTTGTTTATCTCTTAACGTTGTGCTCTTTACCTTCTTTATATATTGTATTTCAATTTTGTGTTTAAAGTGGCATATAGGCCCAATGGGCCGGGTGTTGATTAATTTTTCAATTTAGTTTGTATACAGAATATTCTATGTACAAGTCACTATAAATGAATAACTTACTTATATACTTATTTACTTATATTAGCCAAATTAACGACTTTAAGTAAAACTTACCTTTAAAAATCTCTATAATCAGATATATAGGTGAGTTTAGTCATTTAAAATGAAGGCTTTGTAGGAGGCGAAGGTTCATTTGAATTTTATTATTTAAGACCTACCTGTAACAAAGCCAATCTTACGTGATCGGATGCGAAAAATATTTTTTTTAATCTATTTTCCCCCAGCTATGTTAGTGAATTACATAAAAGTATGAGGAGACAATCTATTGGGGTCATTTTTTTAATACGTGCTGTATATTTCATCATTTATTCAGAAGTCCTAACATGTGTAAGTTATGATTAAGTTACAATGACCACAAAACGCCATGCATAATGGGTATAAATGACGGAATAAAAAGTTAAATTCAAATTGATAAAATTAATGAAAAAATAAGTTATTTACAAATGTATTAATTTATCATGAATTATATCAAAACTATGAAATACAACACCCCATCTGCTCATTTGTCATCAAAATCGTTTGTAAATCCTATCATGTGACCAACCCGGCACCATTCGACTCCATTCGACTAACGTTACCTTCAGCAAGTCGAATGAAAATCAAATTTAAAAAATCGCACTGTGTGACCGCACCTTTACAAGTATCTCAATCTTAACTATGTTTTAATTTTCATATCCAATAAGGGCAAATTTTGACACATTGTCCTTCATAACAATTCAAAATGAGCCAAATTTTAGTAATTTAAAGCTTGTTTCAAACCTTTATAAGAATGCACACCTGTTATTTCCCAGTTTAGTGAACAATTTAGTCTAGATTTCTGTATTAAACTTATTTTTCATCGATTTCTGCTTTACAAAATCTATGTGTTTGTTGAATATTAATCAATATTTAGTAAAGTTTAGATAAGTTTTATATGCTTTGAATTGTGTCAGCAACATAAACCATTGTTTAAATGAAAAATTCGACTTCTGTTTCTTGTTACTTGAGAAAGCTTCCACATAAAGTCAATAAAGATATAAAACTTTACAGGGAAATGTGAGCAAATCGATGTGCATGAAGAAAAATGTAATTTTCTAAAAAATATACTTTACAAAACACTGAAGATCTGTTTTATCCGCATTTTTTAAAAAATAAAAAAATCTTACCCGAACGTTTTAATCCAAGATCTGTTTTATCCGCATTTTTAAAAAATAAAAAAAATCTTACCCGAACGTTTTAATCCAAGACAAACGGAAATTAAAAACTTCAGGAATAATACTCGGTAGTTGGTTTTGGAATGAGAACTTCAATGTCCAAACAGGTACACTACAACTACATTATTCCTAAGGAAAATTGACACTGTACGCTGTTAGTTAGAACTTGGTGCAAGAAAAAATGGACATAGTATCGTACGCTCGTTGTACTTGAAAACTGGCCTCATGGTTATTACTTCAAAATGAATTGTCGCACAGTAAACCTCATTCCAAATACAACAAATATTCTAATGGTTATTTTTCACATACAAATCTGGCAAAACCATCGAAGTCACAATCATACACTGTACATATATATCTTAAAGACAATTTTACTGTTAATCAAATGTGGATATGCTCAATTCCAATCAATGTCCAGGTTTTTACAGCCCTGTAGATGTGGTTTTTCTAAAGCCTTTTATGTACCAGGAATAATCAATGTCTTCTTGCCGTTTTAAATTTAGCACGTGTTTAGAATAAAAACAGGAGTACTTTTCGTCTAAGTGCTCAAAAATGGATTAAGATAGGTTTTTCAGTGACGTTTTGAATATTTCAACAGGCCATGGGGACGAACATATTTAATCCGTTTAAATGGATTTCATTGACAATAAAATTCACCTGAGATATCAATTATGATAACATGAAACCTATAATCGCAGTTTTATCGCCCGTGGAGCCATTAAATATATGTCTACATACAACAAGAAGAGAAAAGGAGGGAATTAAATTATCGAAAGCAAATTATTGTCACCGGTTAGGGAAATGGATTTGATAAATCAAAAGTATACAGCAGTCTCCGCTTTCTATTTAACGATTCTGAAAAATTAATAATTTAAATACCTTCATTTTCAATCTCTGATTATTTTTCAGATTTATGCATGAACTATTTTAAGATCAATGGGATCTAATATTGAATGATTGATTTTACCCCCAACGTTTCACATTTCATTAAAAAAAAACAAGAATGGATTAACACAAAAACGAACATTGAAAGGAAAGAATAAAATATATAGAACAATGTTTGTATAAAATCATTTACATATACCAGAGCAAAGGTGAATGGCCTTTAACAGTCAGCGAGTGCCGACGTCGTAGGGCATTTTATATTATTTCGTTTATTTTGCAGCCACGCAAATTGTTATTTTGAGTTGTTCATAAGATTCTGAACATTTTTCCCTTTACCCTTGCATATACATTACGATGTTGTCAAATAAATATGAAAATTTTAAGCTTTGTGAATTGTTCTTTTATATTTCTATAAGTTAATCTTTTAATTTCATTTGGTGTGCCCATCTCTGCCTTGTGGATCACAGTTTGAGCAAACATGAATTAACACTATTTACATAGATGAGGATGCTTGTGAAAATGTTAGAAAGTCTGTAACTCTGCGGTTCTTCAGAATGAGATTTCTTTATATTTGCCCTATAGATATCTTTATCAAGCTTTGAACTCGCTTTCGCAGCCTAATTTCGGCAAAGGGGGCCATGGTATGAACAAACTTAATTATACAAGAGGATGACTGCGTTTGTGTTCCTTGGCTCTTGAGAAGTACAATTTCATGAAAGTTGTTCTATTCGTTCTTATATAAAGATTTAAATTACTGAGTAACTCAGGTGACTTTTAAGTTTTAAAGGCTATTTTCCGATTATTTAATGCATATAATATAAATATATATATTATAAATATAAATATTATAATGCATATAATGCGCTAAAAAATTATTCAAATATGAAAAAAAATTCTACTTTTCACAAGTGACATTGTTTACGCAGTGAAAGTTGCCTTTTTACTTAGATTTTGAATCACAGAGAGGTACCCCTTTATTTAGATTGTGAATCACAGATAGGTACCTCTTTACTTAGATTGTGGATCACAGATAGGTACCACATTACTAAGATTGTGGATCACAGATAGGTACCACATTACTAAGATTGTGGATCACAGATAGGTACCACATTACTAAGATTGTGAATCACAGATGGGTACCTCTTTACTTAGATTGTGTACCACAGATAGGTACCTCTTTACTTAGATTGTGAACCACAGATGGGTACCTCTTTACTTAGATTGTGAGTCACAGATAGGTACCTCTTTAGTTAGATTGTGAACCACAGATACATAACTATTTACTTTGACTGTGAACCACTGATATATATCTCTGTACTTAAGGCCAAAATAAAATTATTGTTTGTTTGGAATTGCCTCCCGCCTCATTGAAATGACCCCTCTTGGAAAAATTTTATTGACCAAAAATAAGAAGATTTTTTTTTATTGAATCAATTCTTGGCCTGCTACCACATGTGCCAGCCAATCACTTAATAAGTGTAGGATCTAAGCAAAACTGGGTTCCTGGTTGATGGGAGATACCCTTTACAAAAAGGCAGAAAATAATGTGTTCATTCCTTATTGAGATTTTTATCATCAATTTTTAATTTAACTTTAATTTTGAAAAAAAAAATAATTTCCCTCCCTTCCTCCTGGGTTTGAAACCTCCCAGGCGGTAATTCCATACAAACATTTTTTTAAGGATGGACTAAATTGTGAACCACAGATACATATCTCTTTACCTAGATTGTGGATCACCGATACATACCGCTTTACTTAGATTGTGAACCACAGATACATATCTCTTTACCTAGATACATACCTCTTTACTTAAATTGTGGATGTGGAGTGCGGTATCCACGTCATCTATTGCTTTTCTGACGTTTCTCAACTTTTTGTGACACTTTGAGCGATAAACGAGCGACTTAACATCCGAGGGAGATAGTCGAAGAGCCTGAAAATGAGCAATCAGATCATTTTTTAGTCCTTGAACCCCTCCCCCCTCCTCAGTCAAATTTGCAAATGAAAAAAATGATATTTAAAAAAATTATACGTAAATATATCATATGAAAATGAAAAAAAAAATGAGACCATAAACAATCAAAATTTTAAAATTAAACGCATATTTGCTCAGCTAAAAAAATCCAATATTTAAAAATAATAACAATCTGCTCCTACCTGTACAGTTCGACACACTGTATTTTCTTTTTGTGTTGGTCAAAGATGGAAAATCTTAGTCAATCAACACAAAAGCTTACCAATCACATTTAACAAGTTAAAATCCAAAGATTAATTATCCATGTGCAGACAAGGACACATCTTTAATGTATAGATAACCTAATCAGCTAATTATAAACGCTCGCGTAGATTCCTCGGATATACATGTACAAGAGGGAAAAGGGTGCACGTGATTCTTATGCGGTGAAAAGACTGAAATCCAATATCTGGTTTTTATTCCTCCGTATACCTCCCGTGCAGATAAGGTGTCTGCACGAATTGGATATGAGCACTTAAAATTTTCAAACAATAAAAAGAAACGGATTTATATTGCGGGTGAAAATATTCAACATAAATTTGTAATTTTAAAGTATCACCCAAAGAATTCTTAAATTATGGGTCAGGAAAACAGATGACTTGAATGTTATAAATGCACTTAAAAAATAAAGCTTTAAAGTTTATTAAACTGATACAACGTGTCAACAGATCTATAAACCCTTCACACAATCTGCCAATATCAGTCTGATACTTCGACAACTTCTAAAAGCATTTTTGTGTATCGGCACACTTGATAAGTAATGGTATGTAACGCAGAGACAAAGGGGTACCTGCAAAAAGCCAACCAAACAAAAATCAGAACGGGTAGTTTTCAATCGAGAACTGAAGTATTCTACAAACAGAAGTCAAGAGATGTCGGGATTTAAAACATAAATAAGAGACCGAGATTATGTATGTTGTATTAGGCACCTTATATCCATTGTCAGGTTACACAGGTTTGTTCTATACCCGATTTAATCAAATATTAATCCGTATTTAGTACAACTTTCTATTAGATTTGAAGATAATTCTACATGTATTAACCCAGACTTTAAAAAAATACATGCATTCCTCTTTTTTTAAATAGTAAATTGGTTCCATGATATTACTTTTATTTATATTTTACCCATCATTAATAATTAACATAGTAATTACATGTGTATTCTTATATGTTATTTGAATACTAGCATGTCTTTAAATCACTATGCATTTAAATCTTGTTTGGCAGTAAATATATATAATGAGCGGTTCAGATACTTATCTCAATTAAGCTGTTGAGAAGTTATCAAAATTTGTGGCACCTAAGCTTTTAAACCACTTCAGTTGGACTTAACCATCTATCTAAATAAAAATATCAGTTTTGGAAATTTACTAGGCGCTGATAGTTTTCCAATTTCTTTTCAATTTCATGTCCATAAACTTGTGCTCTTGAAATGTTGAATGAAAAATTTCGTGTAGACAACTTTTTATACATGTATTTCATTTTAGACTGACTGAGGTTTTATGGCCATCTCTATAAACTTGTATCAAAATAAAGATACCAGAAATACACGCTTGCAAAGAACTTTTCATTTAAGAGTTATGGACAATGGGATGAAGTTCACTTAACATCACCCTGAAGGCCATATAGTTAGTAGTAAATGAGTTAATGTCTTTAATGTGTAAAATAGTGTTTGTTTTACATCTATTTTACCATTGCTATTCTGGGTAATGTAACATTGTAAATTTTGAATTTATTGTGTTACAGGAAACATGCGCGGATCTAGTCGCGGGATGGGGTTAGGGTGGGAAGTCCGGACCCCCCCCCCCGGATTTTCAAAGTTAAATAGTTAAATTTCTAAAGGAAAATATGGCCTTGGACACCCCCTCCCTCGAAAAATCTGACTTCTTGTAAAATTATATATATATATATATATATATATATATATATATATATATATATATATATATATATATATATATATATATATATATAAAGTGACTTTTTCTACTGATGAATATGAGGTTACTTCGAATTCTTTAACTTCAATTTTGCATCAAAAATACTACAAATCAAGAAAACGCAAGCATCAGAATTCCAAAGGAAATATAATGCGTACCAGATTCTATTAACGATCATATCGTAATGCCATCGTCCAGTGGCCATATTATTTTTTTTTTTTAAAAATCAGTGTAGAAGTACACCAATTTTAATTGAAGGGGGTTCTACAAACTAGTTCATCATTTGCATAAAGAAAAAAACTTTTTATTATTTATCACCCATCTTTTAGTTCAGTTTTTGAGCGTGGTTTGATACTCAACTAAAGCATTTGAAAATTTCTACACTATGAAAATCTACAGGAATTTTTGTGTATTCCAGTAAATCCTAGTTTCCTTGAGAAAAAAAAGTATACGAAAGGTCGATTTTAAGAGGAATGATAACGTGTAGAAAATACATTGTACCTGTTGCCTTAAACATCTACTTCTGACAGGGTTAGAAATGAATAAAATGACAGGAGCTTGTTTTTGCAGCAGGTGCCACCACTTACCAAGTTGAACAGCTTCAATGCACTCTTGTAGTCCCCGCCGGTATACTTAACTAATCCGTCCTTCCGGTAGGAATTATTCAGGACTTCCGTCTTCCTCTGCTTGATGTCTTTATTTCCGCTCATCCTGACAGCTGCAGTTGGCAATTCAAGTTCATGACAACAGACACAAAATTTTGCAACTCACTGTCCTACCTGTTGGGTTCATTTGTTCTCCCTTTTCAATATATGTTTTACTTAATAACGAGCTGGGAAGCCAAATCTTTTAATCCGACTAATCCTGGTTATGACACATTTCCAAAAGAAGGTGCAAATCTCATATTAGATTTCCATTTTATTAACACGGTAACTGGTGGAATTTCAGGCCAGATGCCGACTAGAGCAAATGGTATTACCAATTTCTCAGCCAATATAAGCGCTTTTATCAAAGCTTATAATCAGTCTGTATTTTCATTTGGCAAAAGGTGCATCGAAACGTTAACGTTTTTCACATTAAGGAAACATTGCTGCAACCAAAAAGTTGGTATAAAAACACAAGAGTTCGCCTTTTGAAAATGTTTTTATGATTTAACGATGATGGCCTTTTGGTAAACCTCATGTAATAACAAATCTTTTAATTTTTCCAACATCATAAATGATATTAGTTGGTATGGCACCAAGATTTCCGTAGGAAGTTTGGCCCTGTGGAATGATTCGACATTATCTGTTACATCTGTCTCCCCCATTGTCATCAGATCACCTTTTTTTCCATTGAGACTTTAATCTGCTGATTAATGCCATAGGTCATATCAAATCAATTACGGATTTAAATTTCATGCAGTCATGTTCAAGCTTCTTAAATGCTTATTCAATTAAAATTTATGCTTGAGTCTCTTTTTTTCATTAATTGATATGCGTTTCCCATGCTCTATCTGAGCAACAAGTCATGAGCAGGAAGATAGCTTCTCGGTAAAATTCTCATAATTTATTAAACTCAATAAAAAAAATAAAAAGTTTTTAAAGGTACTTGTACTTTTAATTAAATCATATTGCCTTTTTATCTCATACACAATTACCAGATACTTATTTTTTTTTTATAGATGTTTGTTTATGGCAAAACGGCCGTTTGTGTTCATCTAAGAGTCGCCAAAGGGCCCATGGGCCAAAACACTCACCCGAGTCAACTTTACCCTTAAATGACACGTGAAACAAACATTCTTCAAAATCATGATAATAACAACTAAGTCATGTTTACATAAGGAAAATGAATGAGTTTAGCCGCATAGACTTTAATATTTCATTCAACAATAATGTCCTGTAAAGTGGTAGCTAGAGTGTTCCAAGGAATGCATGTCGCCTGCTTTATAGTATCATTAAAAGAATAAAATAAATCTACATGTAAGAGTTGTCAACTATTTATTTGCTACTAGCATTATAGTTCAGGCAATGGAAAAAAAATATCCTCTGATAGTAAGACCGATAGAATAGCATTTATCACATAAAATTTGACAATTAAATAGAAATATGATTCCCCAAACCCCAAAGCTAAAATGAATGATGAAACTGTAGTTATTTTTCGGCAGGTACTTGGGTCTTGGTTTTTAAAATATGTATGTATCTTACTGATATGTAAAAAATAATAATAATAATAAGGTACATAGACATTTTTAAAAAGAAGACCCAAGATCCTGTATTTTTTTCATTAATACGTGTTTTATCCAGCTATCCTCCATGCAGTCTACAATGATCCTTTTGGTATATCGATCCCTATGTATTTTCATAGTATTTTAAAGAACTGCGAACGATAGTATTGTTCTCCCGCCTACCTCCAACTCAATTTTTAAAAGTTAACATATTTGATTGATTTTTCATACTTAAATAGATATTTATATGAATTTTCATAAAACATTACTTATTTGGGAAAATAAAGAGAGATAACTCTATAATTTTGGTAAAACTTGTGTTTTTCGCTATAGAAATCAATGGAAAACGGAAAATATTTTTAAAACATCTCCCCCCCCCCTCCCCCCGGTGAAACAAAAATTCCTTTCTACAGGTAATATGGATGGTTATTTCACAAATTCATACCAAAGCTTTTTGTGTTTCACGGGGGGAACACATGTTTGCAGACAAAAAACGACAAAAATGCTCATTTTTTCCACCAATTTCGAAGGGGTTTACAACTTAAACGTTGTATTTTATTCATTACATATGTTTAATTTTATATGCGTAAAACAGAAGAAAAGATTTAAAGAACATTTATCCATATCCAGGAATATTTAATGATATGCTGATGCTTTCAAGCCTGATTTCAATGGAAAACGTCGTCTACTCCCCTTATAAAAAGAGCTGGAATTAAGAATAATTAACTATTTAACACTGGTATTAAAATTATTAATCAATTAACATTGAACTCTTCTTTGTATTCAACAAAGATTTTATGGCCAATTTCCAATAGTATTGAACTAAATGGGTGTAAAATGTAGGCGGGAATCGAGAGTTAGCGTGCGTAGTTCTTTCAGTTTTTGTGGTAACGTTAACTGTATAGCATACAATTTCAAAGTAGCACACAGTTTCTAAGTAGCATTCAGTTTCAAAGTACATTGTCATGAGCTCATAAACATATGATATAAATGCTAATGATCAAAACCCTACCTCTCAAAATTCAAGACAAGTTATATCAATGTCCGGAGTAATTTTTGCGAAGTAGGTCAAAGGTCAAGAGGACTCTAACGCTAGTATTTTTTATGTTTTATGACAAACATTGCACATGCCAAATAACACAGTTTTACCTCTTAATTGAAAAGTAGGTCAAAGGTCAAGTTCAAGGGTCTCGAGGTCGATAACCATTGCATTTAAAGCAATATGAGCTGCATTTTTGAGAATTTTATTTTGCTGTTAAAATGTGCCATTATGATAAATTTGTATATAATTTAAACCTTTCTGATCAGTTAGACAGAAATAAAGTATTACATGTAATTGTTTCAGAAGAAAGACTTCTGTACAATCAAATATATAGTATTATATAAGGAATCAATATTGTACAGGACGACAATAATGTAATTCTGCTTCAACCAAAGCTTAAAAATAGTTCTTCCATCGCAAAAATGAACATCAGAAGTTTATAAACGTACATTTTTCTTGTCATTGAAATAGTTAATTACAATTTTGCAACAAAAATTTCCGACATCAAAGTTGCAGCTCATATTGCTTTAACAAAAGCCAAAGTACCATGCCATATATGTGCAAAATATCAAATCCATACCTATAACGTTACAGTTCTCAAGATAGTTTTCGATAGGCCTAAATTTAGCAAGTTATTTCCCTTTGGTCGCCATATTGGAGGTCCAACTAGCGAATTTTCCTCTTTGAGCAACCAATTTTAAACTTGTATTGCAGAAATACAAGGGCAAACATCTTTAAAATATAAAAATTACGAATTAAAACAAGCGTGTGTTAACATATATTCGTAAGAAAAATTGTGTTATCTTCACCCAATTGCCCTGAATGACAAGTTTAAATTGGTTGAATAATGAAGAAAATCGGGCTTATGTACCTCCAATATGGCGACCAACGGGAAATAACTCTTGCTAAATTCGTGTCTATCAAAAACTATCTACAGGTGTGACAGATGGACTGTTAGACAGAAGGACAGACACTGAGTAAAGTGATCCCTAAGTGTCTGCTCTGCAAGTGACACAAAAATATATAGATTCATAAGTGTGATGGCAAAACGGTAGAACTTTGAACATCATACGAAGTTTTCAATTTTTTAATATTTTTATTTGATCATTTAAAACTCAATAAGGACAAAAAAAATGTATCAATCCAGACATTATTTTTTGTTTGTATCATCTGTCCTTAATTTCACGAAAGTTTCAATAAGGCCTTGCTATTCTGGTAAAAAAGATTTTTTTTGAAAGTTTTTTTTCTGGATTTTTTGCTTCGTTTCTTGTAAACATTCATTATGTAAATTTTGGGAAGAGGCAAGACCCTTCAATTGAACAAATTTTAAATCCCCTCTATCCAGCAATGTTCTTTGTCAAATTTGTTTGAAACTTGAGAGTAAGTCCCAAGTGTAGAAGACAAACACTGGACAAGTATCAGAAAATCTCACTTGAGCTACATGTAGGTTACAGCTCAGGTGAGCTAAATGTCAATCTCTTTTTATCTCAGTCATTCCATAATGTTCAAGAAAATATCCAAACACAAAATCCACCTACATTGTATTTCAAATTATATTTCGCTATATATGTTGATAGTTGAAAGTATATTTTGTAAAATTATAAGATACATCCATGACCTATTGGTCTTTCTAATCTTTATTTAGAGAATGATCAAATTGATTTACCACTGTTGTGATATATACATATATATATATTTCAACAAAATATTTTCAACAGAAACTTTGGGCAACATTTTTTAAAATAGAAAAAAAATATTTTGGCAGTACTGACAAGATTAAATCGCCTGAATACTGATATGGTAACAAATTTTTTCTCGGTAAGGCCATCTTTTAAAATATTGCTTGTTTGCCCTCTCCCGTCCGACTGGCTAAAAATGACCCCACTCAAAACTTTTTTAACCTGCAAGAAACAACATTTTTATTTATTCTTTTTTTCCAGAATTTTCTCATTTCGTCAACAACCATAGTTACAATTTTGTTTAAAAAAAAATTTCCCCACCTACCTACCGACCCAATTTTTTTTTTTTTTACCCTGGGTAGGGAAAGGGCAAACAAACATTCTTTTAGAGATGGCCTAAAACAGATAACAATATTTACATATATTTCCAAATTATTACAGTTTATAATCTTTGCATTATATCAGTTTGATGGTCAGCAGATGTTGGGGATGGTTGACTGCTAACTAGGACACATCTTTAGTTGGGCTATCCTTTCCCTGGTCCTGACTTTTGTTAGCTTCATTGGTGTCATCATCCCTAAAAATAGTTGTCAAAAAACATGAAATTGTTCATGATAAACTTTCACACTCTCTCCCATACTAAGCAAATCTTAAACATTCAGAAATTTGAAAATCTCTTACACAGCATCCTTGTCCTCATTTGATTGGGGATCCCCTGAACTCTTTTTATCCTCCTGATCTGTTTTCTCCTCGGATTTTGCCACAGATTTTGCAGATTTTGGA